ACTTAGGCGTCCCCAACGACAAAAACTCCTAGCAGCACAATTGCAACATCTAGCTGACTGATGAGTCAAAAATATTCAAGTATAACTAAAGGCTAAACTTTTTTTTTTAGCTTTGGATAGAGTGGAGAGGGATTGGAACACCTGTCAGGTTTTTATTGTTACACAATAAAATTTGTTAATTACCGTATTTTCCGGCATATAAGGCGACTGGGTGTATAAGGCGACCCCCTAATTTTCCAGTTAAAACCTAGGTTTTAGGCTATACTCACCATATAAGACTACCCCCCTTCCGACGCAACACCACTTAAACATTTCAATTAAAAAATCTGATGTTTTTATGACTTACCGGTACTTAAAATGCTTCAAAAGCCTCATCATGTTCATCCTCTGACATCATAAGTTCATGAATGATGACATCTTGTGATACATTTGTAAGACAGTCATCATATGGATCAAATTCCAGATCAGATGGTTACCGCTGGATGTGCGGTAATACGGTAGCTTCGGCTACATACAGTATACATACAGCCCGCTGGATGTGCAGTAATGTACATACAGTATACCGCGCTGAGCCCAAGCTGGCGCAAAACAAATGTCCCTATGAGAGATTAATCTGTCAGCCCGCTGGATGTGCGATATATACGGTATACTGAGCCAAGCTGTTTCAAAACATACCGGTACGTCCCTACTGTAATCAGCCCGCTGGATGCGTGTATGTACAGTAGCTGAGGCTACATACAGTATACGCTGTGCCAATCACGGCGAGTGATGATGTATTCTACTAATGAATGCAAAGCCTGCTTGGATTGGCTGAGGTTGTGACATCATCAGCCCACCTCTCTGTACAGAAAATACTGTACTTGCGAGCCACTAATAAGAGTTGAAAAAGGATCGCTGACAATATCATTCTCATACTGTGTATATAAAACATAAAAAAAAACTCTACATGTCGCACTCCCAATATACTACAAATATCAATCAAATCAAAATAAACAATAAAACAAGTATATCAAAAATAACTAAATATTAACAACTTTATTAAATTATAACAATAATATAAAAAAAGTTATAATTTAATCAAGTTGTTAATATTTAGTTATTTTTGATATACTTGTTTTATTGTTTATTTTGATTTGATTGCTATTTGTAGTATATTGGGAGCGCGACATGTAGAGTTTTGTTTTAGGTTTTTATTGTGGTCTATGCCCAATCTTCCAATGGGGACACTACTTCTGGTGAAAACCAGGGATTCCCTTTCATTTCCTGTTTCGGCTGCGGGATAGGAAGTGAAGAGTAATATCCCCAATCGGACAAAGAAAAAAATAAAAACAAATCTGACAAGGGTTATAACCCTCCCTTACTCTATCCAACATTAAAAAAAAATTTGTCTTAAGTTTTACTTTAATGACCCCCATCTGTAGGAAATAGATCCAGGGAAACTCGGCTCTATCAATCCTAACACAGTTTGAGGCAGGAACATTCGCCACTGTATCCCAGTAACTCTCTCTGTTAGATAAGGTGTGATTGACTATGAAAAAAAAAAAATCTTCACTATGTGGGCAATAATTCCTATACATCAATCTGGAAAATATCCATTATAATGAGCTTTAAATACTAGAAGTCTTGGGGTATTATCTTTATACTTACATTTTATTCCTGGCTACTAGATTGCCCTTCCTAGCCAATAAGTTAGTTGTCAAACATCGGTTGTCCTCACATCCAACAACACCGGCTTCTAGGTGAACCTCAGCCTTTGACCACAGAAAAACTAGTATATCAACACAGAGGATGCCCTCACAAATTCCTGACGTTGTGTCATAGTTGAAAGGAGGAAACTGTGCTGGCTCCTCTACCACTGTAAACTGCAAAGTAAATGACACACTAATGTATAGTATTTTGCATTGGGCACTTATTCCTTGTATACTTGTAGCTTACAGTTATTGAGCCGATATTTGTACACTCATGGTAAATGCAGCATGTCTTTTCTCCATGCTTGCCTCCTGGCAAAGGCAAAAATACACGGCTCAAAAAAAAATTTAAGGAACACTTTTTAGTCAGAGTATAGCATCAAGTCAATGAAACTCCTGGGATATTGATCTGGTCAGGTAAGTAGCAGAGGGGGTTGTTAATCAGTTTCAGCTGCTTTAGTGTTAATGAAATTACCATCAGGTGCATTAGATGGGCAACAATGAGATGACCCCCAAAACAGAAATAGTTTTACAGATGAAGGTCACTGACATTTTTTTTCCTACTCATCTTTTCTGACTGTTTTTCACTAGTTTTGCATTTGGCTAGGGTCAGTGTCACTACTGGTAGCATGAGGCAACACCTGGACCCTACAGGGGCTTCACAGGCAGTCCAACACTCCCAGGATGGTACCTCAATATGTGCCATTGCCAGAAAGTTTGCTGTGTCTCAAAGCACAGTCTCAAGAGCATGGAGGAGATTCCAGGAGACAGTAACTCTTGGAGAGCTGGACAGGGCCGTAGAAGGTCCTTAACCCGTCAGCAGGACCGGTATCTGCTCCTTTGTGCAAGGAGGAACAGGATGAGCACTGCCAGAGCCCTACAAAATGACCTTCAACAGGCCACTGGTGTGAATGTCTCTGACCAAACAATCAGAAACAAACTTCATGAGGGTGGCCTGAGTACCCGACATCCTCTAGTGGGCCCTGTGCTCACTGGCCAGCACCATGGAGGCATATCCATGAAGGGACCAACAGACCTCTACAGGCTAGACAATTGCACCCTGACTGCCATTAGGTATCGGGATGAAATCCTTGGACCCACGGTCAGACCCTATGCTGGTGCAGTGGGTCCAGGGTTCCTCCTGGTGCACGACAATGCCCGCCTCATGTGGCGAGAGTATGCAGGCAGTTCCTGGAGGATGAAGGAATTGATGCCATTGAATGGCCCCCACACTCGCCTGACCTAAATCCAATAGAACACCTCTGGGATATCATGTTTCAGTCCATCTGAGGCCACCAAGTTGCACCTCAGACTGTCCAGGATCTCAGTGATGCCCTGGTCCAGATCTGGGAGGGAATACCCCAGGACACCATCCGTTGTCTCATTAGGAGCATGCCCTGACATTGTCAGGCATGCATACAAGCACGTGGGGGCCATACAAACTACTGAGGACATTCTGAGTTGCTGCAATGACATTTCAGCCAAATGGACTCGCCTGCTGCATCATTTTTTTTCACTTTGATTTTCGGGGTGTCTTTGAATTCAGTCCTCTGTAGGTTGATAATTTTCATTTCCATCAAACGATGGGGCATCCTTGCATTCCTAACACAATACCCCGTCCATATCAGTATAGAGATCCAGCATGATATTTTTCCCCATTGAGATCTGATGTTTTTTCAAAGTGTTCCTTTAATTTTTTTGAGCCGTGTATTATTCTGTAGAGGACTGACATTATTAAAGTTATACAATGTGAATGAGAAACCACTATATTATTCTCTGTATTTGAGATGTTTTTCCTTCTGTTAACACTATGTGTGCGGATGCAAGTGTCAACCATGTTAAACTTTTTTTATTCTTTTTGTTCATGGGTTGGGGGGGGTATCTATGAAATGGTTGTTTTTGTAACCAAAATGCAAATTATTTTAACCACTTGCCTACCGGGCACTTATACCCCCTTCCTTACCAGGCCAATTTTCAGCTTTCAGCGCTGCCGCACTTTGATTGACAATTGCGCGGTCATGCAACATTGTACCCATATGAAATTTTGATCATTTTTTTCTCACAAATAGAGCTTTCTTTTGGTGGTATTTAATCGCCACTGGGCGCTTTACTTTTTGCGCTATAAATTAAAAAAAGTGCAAAAAATTTGAAAAAAAAAAAAAAAGTTTATTTGTTTCTTTTATAAAATTTTTCAAACAGGTATTTTTTCTCCTTCACTGATTTGCGTTGATGAGGCGGCACTGATGGGCACTGATGGGCACTGATAGGCAGCACTAAAGGGCACTGATAGGCAGTACTAATGAGGTGGCACGGATAGGCGGCACTGATAGACAGCACTAATTAGGGGTCACGGATAGGCGGCACTGATATGCAGCACTGATAGGCAGCATTGATAGGTGACATGATGATGGGTACTGATAGACGGCACTGACTGGCATCACTTCTGGGCACTGACTGGCGGCACTGACTGGCACAACCCCTGGGCACTGACTGGTGGCACTGACTGGCAGCACTGGTGGGTGGCACTGGTGAGTGGCACTGGTGGACAGCACTGGTGGGTGGGCACATGTGGGTGGCACTGGTGGGCACAGGTGGGTGGCACTGGTGGGCACAGGTGGGTGGGCACAGGTGGGTGGCACTGCTGGGCACATGTAGGTGGCACTTCTGGGCACAGGTGGGGGCACTGCAGAGTGGCACAGGTGGGGGCACTGCAGAGTGGCACAGGTGGGGGCACTGCTGGGCACAGGTGGGGGCACTGCTGGGAATGGGTGGGCGGGGCTAGTGGGCGCACTGCTGAGCGGAAATGCGGGGGTCACTGCTGGGCACCGATCATCAGGGCACTGATCATCAGTGCCCTGATGATCGGTGCCGATCCCCGCTTGGACAACTGCCGGTTCTCGGCAGTACTTTCCTCACGATCTGACAGCGTGAGGAAAGTGCAGCCGAGAACCGGCACTTGCATTTTCCTGTGATCAGCGTGTCATTGGACACCGCTGATCACGTGGTAAAAGGCCGGTGGGATCGGCCTTTCACCACATCTCGTGATCAGCTGTGTCCGTAGGACACAGCGATCACGGAGATCGCTGGGTGCGCGCCCCCTGGGGCGCGCAGGAGAGCGCGTTCTGGGAGGACGTCATATGACGTCCACTCAGAAGTGGCCGGCCGCGGTGAAGCCGTCTTTCGGCTATGCGCGGTCGGCAAGTGGTTAATAAACACTTTATGATCAGAAAAAAAAGTAAATCCGTAGGTTGCCTAAGCAGGGCATAGAAGCATTTCATTACAGAACTACTACAGAGGTATAGACAGACTCACCTGGGTGCTGAAATGTCCCCTCTGTTAAAGCCATTCAGATGGACCATGCTGTAACCAGGAGATTTCTGTAATGACATTTAAGCAATTAGACCATAATGAAGCAGATACAAAGCTAAATCTATGGACATCTCCTAATGCTTCCAGCTATCCTCAACCCTAAACAGTGAGCCTATTGTTGGAACTACCGGCAGGTACAAGAATCAGTTATTAAGGTGCCATGACTTTTCCCAGGAACAGAAAGAGCCAACATTAAACTGAAAGCAAAGTTTGAAAATGTCCTATAGTTCCAAGTGGAATAATTGGATTTGGAAAGTTTCCAATGTCACCATAAGAACTACAGAGTGCCAAGAGTAAGTGAGCCAGCGAATCTGCTAAAGGCAAACACACTAAAAAAATGCTCATTAAACGGGCTGCAAAAATCCTACAAATTTTTACTAATGCATAACAAAGTTCACTAACCGGCAATACTCTTATTCCACTTTAACCTCCTTGGCGGTATTCCCGAGTGTAGCTCGGGGTAAAATTTCAGTACCAAGAGCGGTAACCCCGAGCTACACTCGGGCTTACCATGCGGCGTTGCTCAGGGAGTCCCTGCAGCACTTAGCTTGTCCTTCGCTCCCGCGATGTGTCCCCTGCAGCGTCCCCGGCCATCTCCTCCGGCCGATGCCGGAATCGGGCTTCTGTGTTCCAGCCCTGTGACGTCGGGACGTACGGGCGCCGGAACCGGCAGCAAATTTGAAATTTTTAAAAAATGTCATTTTTTTAAAAATGATTATTATATAGTAAATCATTGCTGTTTCAATGCATTTCACATATATTTTGTCCCGAGTGCTTTGTCCGGCCCCTGCCTGCATTTTGACTGTTCTTTCTGCCTGGAAACTTAGAAAATTCCATGGCGTCCAAAAAGCGTCCCTTTATGTCAAAAGCGGTTGTAGACCGGCTAGAGAACAGCAATAGTAAATCAGAACCACTTGCAGAATTGAGTGATAATGATTCGTGGGGGAAATTCGTCATCAGACACTGAAAACGATTTTGCGACTTTTCTCAACGATGTGCGAATTTGCCTCTGTATTTCAAATTTCAGTGTTTTTGGTTTGATTATATTATTGAATTAAATATATTATTATATTATTTTTTTATGATTATTTATTAAATTATAATTTATGATTTCGTGTTTCAAGTTTTATCATCCCCGGGATGTTTACTAGACTCTTGTTCGGACAGATTTCAGTGAGTTATTCCTAAAAATTACAGCCTACAATAAAAAAACTACATATTTCCATGCAAAAAAAATGGTACCGCTTTCAGCACAAAAAAGCGGAAATAATCATACCGCCAGGGAGGTTAAGGACATTCACAAAGCACTAAAGATCAATTTTAACATCACAATAATGACACTATTTTTGTTTCCATATATTGGCTCCCATTGCCAGAACAGATCTGTGCATCATATTGTTGGTGCAGTTTCAACTGGAGTCATTTCTCCAATTGCTAATCAAATTCAAACTTCAGTTCTGAGCCTGACTGGTGTTTCTTGGGATGTAGCACCATTCTTAGTACTTACACTTCCATACATCAGGCCTATAATGACATCCAGTAACCCTGATAGAGGGACTCACCAATGGAGAGAGTGGAAGTAGAACAGAGCCCGTGTGAAAATTCATCATGCAGAGACTTCGCAGAAGGTCACGTCCTGATTAGGAATAAAGTAATGTTACCAACCAGGGTGAAGGATGAGATTACAAGCCCAACAATGTCCCCTATGAAGAAGTGACTCCAAGTCGCATTTTCCTCCTCTTTTTAATATTCAATAGGTGAGCGGTGGTGTGCTTACATCACACTACCTTTTATGGGCAGGTATGACTTTACAGCGCCCACCTGCAACCCACCCCCAGCCAATAACTGGCAGCTATGCCTATAGATCCTCTAAGTAGTACAGCAATGTCCACCACATGCCCAATAAGTCAATGCCTTCCCATGAAATCATAGGATTAGTAGTTAGTGTTCCCCCTACGAAAAATGTCTGATGGAAAATGAGACACTTGCCTAGAACCCCTACTGGGGCCCAGAAACTGTAAACTTTACTACATGAGCAGATGATGTCACAAAGAAAAACCTGGATTATTGAGAAAGTAAAGTGATAAGTGTAAAAAAAAAAAAATGTTTGTGCATGGGGAAACAGGGGACTAAGGGTCCAAAGCGGACAGCATCCTGGAGTTCAGCTTTAAAGTGGCAATTCAGTCAAAACCTAACTAAGCCCAAAACTACTCCCACCCCCATTTGAAGACTAATCTATCTACCCTGTAAAAGGAAAGATGCTTATACTTACCTATGCTGAAGTTGCTGGTTTAGGCATTTGTCTATTGTGAGTGCAAGTGAAGGAAACACTGTTGCAGTTACCCTTTGGTAAAAAACCCCCCAAACCTGTAATTAACCCCCCTGGCGGTATTCCTGAGTGTAGTTCGGGGTAAAGTTTCAGTACCAAAAGCGGTAACCCCGAGCTACACTCGGGATTACCATGCGGCGTTGCTCCGGGATCTCTTCTTCACTTACCTTGTCCTGCGCTCCCGCGAAGTCCCCCCTGCAGTGTCCCTGGCAATGTCCTCCGGCTGATGTCGGCATCCGTCTTCCGGGTTCCGTTCCCTGCGAGCGCCAGGACGTAGGGGACGGAACCGGCGGGAAATTAAAAAATGTTGAAAAGTGATATTCACTAAATACACTAAAATCACATAGTATAACATTCCTGTATCAAACCATTTCACATACATTTTGTCCCGAGTGCTTTGTCCGGCGCCCTGCCTGCATTTTTACTGTTCTTTCTGCCTGGAAACAGAGAAACGTCCATGGCGTCCAAAAAGCGTCCCTTTAGGTCAAAAGTGGTTTTAGACCGGCTAGAGAACAGCGATAGTAAATCAGAACCACTTGCAGAATTGAGTGATAATGATTCGTGGGGGAAATTCCTCATCAGACACTGAAAACTATTTTGAGACTAAGATCAGCGATGTGCGAAATTGGCGCTATATTTCACATTTCAGTGTTTTTGGTTTGATTACATTATTGTTTTACATTTATTATTTTTTAGGATTATTTATTATATTATAATTTATGATTTCGTGTTTCAAATTTTATCATACCCGGGATGTTTACTAGACTCTTGTTCGGACAGATTTCAGTGAGTTATTCCTAAAAACTACAGGCCTACAATAAAAAAACAAATATTTCCATGCAAAAAAATGTACCGCTTTGAGCACAGAAATACTGACATAATCAGAGCACTAGGGAGGTTAAAATGGAATTCTTGTCATACCCAGCTAAGCCTAAATCTATTCTCAACCCCATTCTAAGACTATTCTATGTAACCCGTAAAAGAAAAGATGTTTATACTTTCCTATTCTGAGGCCGCTCCAGTCCAGTCACATGACCGGCTTCCAGCACTGGCTTCAGTGTAGAGGAGGGGCAGCGACAACAGATGCCCCATAGTAAGTCTATGGGCAATGTCACTGCCCAGGCTCTGCCGCTGTGGCCCTGCTTCTTCTCTACATTGAAGCCGATGCTGGAAGCCAGTCATGTGACTAGACCAGAGCGGCTTCCGAATAGGCAAGTATAAGCAGCTTTTCTTTTACAGGGTGGATAGAATGGTCTTAGAATGGGGTTGGGAGTAGATTTAGGCTCATCTGGGTATGACTAGAATTGCATTTTAATTACAGGTTTTTTTAGCAACGGTTACCTGCAACAGTGTTTCCTTCACTCACAATAGACAATTAACAGAATAAACTCTCAAGCGCTCAAATGCCAAAAGGAAAGCCAGGGGAACCAGGACCAAAATAGCCTATGGATAGCCTTTCGGAGATGCTGCCCTCCTCAGATAGGGAAATCAACAACTGAAAAAAAGAGCAAACAGGAGGCGCACACCCCTAGTGCATTATCCAAGGTTTATTAAAGGTAAAGAGGATGAAAACATACTCACAAACATGGCATAAACGTAAAGCTTAGTGGAACGGTAGAGATGTTGACCAGCTCTGAGGAAAGGGACTCGGCCATGAAACGCGTCAGCAAGCCGACCATACTGAGAGTCGGACACCCCGCCACTGGGTGGGGGGCCCATGGAACCCAGTTCACTTCGGACCCGTCTCAGCTCCCCATATCCCTCTTATTTGTAAATCACCCTGTGCCTGTTAGGGGTACAGGGTGATCTGTCCTAATATTGTGTGGGCTTAGTCTCAGACTGTGTAGACATGTATAAGAGATAGGTGGGGTGGGGGGCTGTTGATTGTTTAATGTTATGTGGCTGCATCCCATTGTTCTATTGTTTGTCTGGCTTGAGAGCAAACTATTATGGGATGTATGTGTTTATGTGTATTAGCTTAGCGGGGGGGGGGGGTAGTGTCTCCAGCAGCCCTCCCTCCTGATGGGACTGTCTGCTGGTGTGAAGTTTGAATATGTGTGTGTCTCTTGTTACTAAATGTGGATTGCCCTGCCCTGTGTCATTATGCAGGGAGGGGGGACTGTCCCCTGAATGTATATATCTTGTATCTGTGTTCAAATAAAGTAGTCTACCTCCTGGTTTACTTCAAGACTGGTGTCCTCTAGTCTTGTATGGTCGGCTGTGGTGTCTGTGGTCAGTGTTCGGACGGGGAAGCAGTATTCTAACGGAAGTACTCAAGCGCAGTCTGGGTTGGTTCCATTACATTATGGCCATCTCTACCGTTCTGCTAAGCTTTACATTTATGCCATTTTTGTGAGTATGTTTTCATCCTCTTTACCTTTAATAAACCTTGGATAATGCACTAGGGGTTTGCACCTCCTATTTGCTCTTTTTTCAAAATAGACAAATGCCTAAACCTGTCTGCTCCTTTTTACTACAAATGCATACTGGTGTTTGACAGTTTGCACAGACCTTTATACTACAGACTGCTTGGGCTAAAGTGCTGTTTTCATACCACTAAGATCACCTGCTGTGAGACCACCAACCCAAGGAAGCTTCCTCCCACCCATACATTTCTTACAGGAAGCCAGGAGAAAAAAAAAAAAAAAGACAACAAAAATGTATCATCTTAACTTTCACAATTTATACAAGACACCCCAGTGCTGCAATTAAAGGACAGCCACTCACCCCTCTCTCGATCATTGTAGAACTTTTGCTCCCATTGGTTTGTAAGAATATTGAAATATCGCTGTTGCTCGAAAAAGCGCAAAAACCGTGACGATATGGGGGAGGGGAAGACCCGTTCAAACTGCCCACAACGAGAAAGCTCATCTTCAGTCTCTGCCAAAATTCGAACATCCTCTGGGGTCAGCTGGTCCAGCACTGTGGCGTACAGATCCTACAAGATACGCACAAGCTGTTGTTTATAACCATGTGCAATACATAAAAACAAGAGCATTGTGCAATAAAATGGTTAATAGAGGTAAAATGCTGCAGCATTTCTATCTACCAGTGTAATATGTAAAGGTTTAATACGTTTCTAGAGGGAAGCAATCAACAAAATTAGGCTGAACTGTAAAATACATGTGAACTCTAACTGATACATTGTGAATTATAAATAGACAGAATGTTTTTTCATAAAAATACTATTTTCAGTTATTTGTCATTTTATTCATTATTTTTTGCATCTTCTTACTCCTGATCTTCTTTAACCTCTTTCAGCTATTTCCTGTTTTGCACTTTCAGTGTCAGCTGATCTAGTCCGGGCTCTTGATAGAGACAACAGTGGACCGTATTTGAGCAATGTGATTCGGCAAGTTCACTGGCAGTTTAAACCAAGGATGCATGTGACAGGGTGGACAAAGCCGGAGTACAACTGTAAGACACCTATCTTCCTATAACAGGAAGTACCTGAACAAGGACCTTTAGGCGGGATCACCAGGTGTTTTAATAAAAGACTGGAACCCCTTTTGAATTTACATTAACCTCTTAGCGCCGGCGCCTCCCGGCCCTTTAAGAGTTTCAGAAGCAGGGAGGCAGTTTTTTTGGGTCATGTGACCGGCGTGATTCGCCGTCACAAAAGTCACATGATCGGAAAAGGTCTTGATCGCAAGGGGAGATCGGGAACTGAGAGTCACAGACATGTGCTGGGAGCGCGCAGGGCGTGCGCTCTCGACACATATGTATTTTCCAATGGCACGCAAATATGCGGCTGCTCGGCGGCAAGGCCCAGACAGGAGGCGGGGCGGGATTTTAGGGTCATGTGACCGCCGTGATCGGAAAAGGTCCCGATCGCAAGGGGAGATCAGGATCTTTCCGAGGGTCACGGACATATGTGCAGGGCGTGCGCTCTCGACACATGTATTTTCCAATGGCACGGAAATATGCGGCTGCTCGGCGGCAAGGCCCAGACAGGAGGCGGGGCGGGATTTTAGGGTCATGTGACCGCCGTGATCGGAAAAGGTCCCGATCGCAAGGGGAGATCAGGACCTTTCCTTGAGTCACGGACATATGTGCTTGGCGCGTACTCTTGACAGATATGTATTTTCCAATGGCACGCAGATATGCGGCAGCTCGGCTTCAAGGCCCAGACACCAAGAGGCCGCATATTTGCGTGCGCTCAGCGTCAAGGGGTTAATATATTAAAAAAACGTATAAGATACTTCAGTGACTGGGTTTAAATCTAGTGCAAGGTGCACTTCTAGCAATGCTAGAAGGTATTATTTTTAACATAAAACTAGTAGGCACTATGACCCAGCACCAGATATAGAAGAAAAATCATCAAAACAGTAATCAGTAAACATTAAAGCTGAAGTCCAATTTGCTTATATGTTGCCTTGATTGCTACTTTTATCCTTCATTAACGAGTTAAATTTTTAAATAAAACCTTTTCGTTTTCATTATATACCTTGTTTCAGAGCGAGTGATGTAATCACTGGCTCTTTGTATTTCTCTATGCAATACAGGCAGATCATAGCTGGTGGGAGGGTCTAGCAGAGTGCTGAAAACATCACAGCTCCCAGTCTTTGCTAGTCCTTCTCAAGAGCTCTTAGTCTTGTATAAAATCCCAACCTGGCTTTGGAATCCATACATCAACTGATTGTTAGGGTTTACACACAAGAATATGTAAACCCAACATTTCCTATACCTGATATGTCCCTACTGTACCGTGTACTTGTATGAAAAAGTCTCCTGTTCCTTTGTGTGAAATGCCCCGTATTCCTGCCAGTCCCTCTGCTTTTCTATTAAAAACTGATCACACTAGGCACGAGAGCACAGCCTGGTCAGTTCTCTAGTTGTGCTGAGAACGCAGCCTGCTCTCCTCCAATGATCACAGCCCAGCACAGCCATTCACTTGGAAGATCAGAGGGAAAGTGATCACTTTAATAAAAAAAAAAAAAAAAAAAAGGTGGGGGGGGGAGGTATAATACTTTATATATCTATAAATAAATGTTTTGCCTTTGATTTGATTTTAAGCTGAATGGGTTGTTTTAGGCCCCTTTCACACAGGCGGTTGTTTTGCCGCTTGTAAATGCAGGTTTTTTTATTTTGAAATTCCAACACTCCTGGCACACAGATCACTTGCGTTTGTACATTGCGTTTATTTGCATATACATGTTGCTGCGTTGAGCTGCGATAGTAAATTCTTGCCTTTTCTTAATGCAACTGTTTACTTATCTTTTCTTTGTACTGCGATTAACTGCGTTTATGTACAGATATCGGCGGTACATCACTCCTGGACACAGTCAACTTTATTTTTCCTAAACGCATATAACTATATGTTATGAAAACATTGCTAAATGCAGTGTGTGAATGGAGCCATAGGGATGCATTGTCTGCATGTAGCTGCAGTAAGTTCCTCTAACCGCAGCTAAAAGCTGAAATCTAACCACTCGGGTGAAAGGCTTAACAAGCAAGGTGAGGGTTTCTATATACTTTAAAGTAACCCCGTTGATCTTGTCAGAAATTTAGAGCTGTCCTGTTCACATTTCTTGTGTTATCTCAGAGTCTAGTTCAGTGGTTCTTAACCTTGTTGGAGGTACTGAACCCCACCAGTTTCATATGCGCATTCACCGAACCCTTCTTAATTGGAAAAATAAAATATGATTTTTAAAATTCAAAACATAGGTATATATTTAGGTATATATTTATACATAGGTGCACAAAATGAACAAAACCGTTAAGAACAAAACCATTAAAACATGATTTTCACACAAAAACAAAAACATAATAATGAATATTTACTGCACGAATCATATGAGTCGGGTGTGGGTCTTCACCTCCGCCGAACCCCCGAGACTGACTCACCGAACCCCTGGGGTTCGATCGAACCCAGGTTAAGAACCACTGGTCTAGTTAGTCCTCCTAGTTCTTATCTGGAAACTACAAGTCAGTTAGTTCCCATGCTTTGAAGATGAAGACCGTGGGATAGATTGAATAGTTTAGGAAAAAAAAAAAAAGTGAGCAGGACTGACATCACCCAGTCCACAAAATTCAGCATGTTCTCAGTCCATAATAGAAAATTAAGAGCATTTCTGGCAGATCAACAGGTATGTTGGTATATTTCTATACTTAATGGGAAAAAAATAGGGAAAAGCAGATTTTTTTTTTTTTAAATGTGACCCGACATACAGTTTAAATAATTATTATTATATTATTATCATACAGTATTTATAAAGCGCCAATGGTTCGCTCAGCGCTGTACATTACAAAGGGGGACAGAACATGTGACAGAACAATACCAATACAATGCAATACATGAGGGGATCGAGGGCCCTGCTCTTTCAAGCTTACAATCTAGGAGGGAGGGGATGGTGGCACAGGAGGAGATAGCTGTGGGGGATGGGGTGGTGGGAAGAGTGGAGGAGGTCGGCAGGTTAGCAGGGGGTGGGTAGGCTTCCCTGAAGAGATGGGTTTTCAGGGTGCGCCGAGAGGAAAGTAGGTGATAATCTGATGGGTTGGGGCTGGGAGTTCCAGAGGTTGGGTGACACCCTGGAGAAGTCCTGGAGGCGGGCATGGGAGGAGGAGACCAGGGAACTAGAGAGAAGGAGGTCTTGTGAGGAGCGGAGTGTGCGTGTTGGGTGGTACTTGGATATTAGGTCAGTGATGTAGTTGGGGCAGTATGGTGGACGGCTTTGTACGTCAGTGTTAGGATTTTGAATTTGATCCGTTGTGCAATCGGAATCCAGTGGAGGGATTGGCAGAGGGGGGTGGCGGAAACAGAGCGGTTGGAAAGGTGAATGAGTCTGGCAGCCGTATTCAGGATGGACTGAAGCGGGGATAACCAGCGGCGAGGCAGGCCAGTGAGGAGGGAGTTGCAGTAGTCGAGTCGTGATATGATGAGGGAGTGGATGAGCTGTTTAGTGGTTTCTGGGGTTGCATGATGATGATGGCATGACTTCAACCAACCAGTCTGCCAGCAAGGTTAATATGAAAATTTGACCCCCACCTTGTCCGGTAACTTCTGGCTAAGGTAATATGCCCGTTTCATCTTTTCTTCATTCAGAATCTCCATTGAGCGCCCACGGTCCTTCCCACTGGTGCACACACTGACAAGACAAAGGAAAACTTCATTTTTCTCCTAAACAAAAGGTATTAGCCAAGCTGGCCCGTGCTTCCATACATACATACAGAGAGGAATTTAAGAAGACTGAAGCAGACAAAATCTGGAGCAGTTTTGCATAGCAACCAATCGGCTTCTAGCTTTCATTTTCAAAGCTCAGCTGAACAAGCGGAGGTTAGAAGCGGATTGGTTACAATGGCTCCAGATTCGATCTGCTTAAATTAATTATAGTGAATTTCCCCCGCAGAGCTTTTTCAACACGTCAGATTGTTTAAAGCAGAGAAAAATTGAACTACAATTTTTTTTGTAAATTGTTCTACCCTCTTCCTACCTATCCTACCTAACCTGTATTAAAAAAAAAAAAAAAAAAAAAAAAAAATCTGCGTGCTTACATTTTTTTAATCTGATCTGTCATGTGATCCTGCAGCTACAGCTCCCCTGTGTCAATCAGCGGCGGCTGCAGGGGAGAGGAGGGAGCAGCGACAACAGCTGGGCCATGGGTGACATCATGGTTCATGGAATTCACAACTGTTGTCAAGCAATGCCTTACACAGAGCTGCAGGACCACTTAAATGGACTTGAGCGGATTGAAAATAGGCAAGTACACCGATCTTCTTTATACAGGTTAGGCAGAATAGGTAGGAGGGGGAGGAGGAAAAAAACATTTTTAAGAATAGGTAAAAGTTGGGGTTTTATTCTAATTTTAAAATCCTGTTTTGCTGTGGAATGAAAACAAAAGCTCTTCTAGGGTAATCTATATAGAGCAGTGGTTCTCAACCTGTGGGTCGCGACCCCTTTGGGGGTTGAACAACTCTTCACAGGGGTCACCTAAGACCATCGGAAAAACACATATTTCCAATGTGTAAGAGCAGCTACTGTGTAGAAAACAGCTGCTGTGTTGAAAGCAGCTACTCTGTTAAAAGCAGCTACTGTGTAGAAAGCAGCAGTATTGGAGGTAAAACGACACTCATGAATTATAATAACTGGGTAAATAATTTTATGGTTGGAGGCAGGGGTGGACTGACCATTTGGAAACTCGGCACTGCCCGAAGGCCCGGGGTCAGTAGGGGGCCCCATGAGATGCTCCTGGTACCTTTTTCATAGGCTTTTTTGACACAGGGGCCCCATGATCCCCTTTTGCCCCCTGGTTGGGGGTCACCACAACACGAGGAACTGTATTAAAGGGTCGCGGCATTAGGAAGGTTGAGAACCACTGATATAGAGCAATTACTTTAGCAACATATTTCAGTGGAAATGAGCTAAAAATCTAGAAAAATTAAATTGTGAATAAACTGCATCTCCCCTCATCATATCCCCCCCCCCCCTCAAAAAGAACAAAAAAAAAAAAAACACTTTTGCCTGGAATTCCTCCTGAAAAACAGCACTACACCACCAATCCTAAAGCCACTTGGCTTTATATCTGCAGTGTGAGATAAAAGGCACTGTTGCCCCCAACTGCTAGTCACAGGAGATTTTTTGATGTCACTACTACTGTGCTGGTTACTGTTATCCTGGTTCAAATCAAAATCCTGCCTGTACTAAGATAGCCACCTCCACAATGAGACAATGCAGAACAAGGCATAGTATATATGGGGGGGGGGGGGGGGGGGGGGATCAGCTGTAGGGAGACCACAGGATATACTGATGACTGCTCCTTTGCCTGCCTTCATTTTTTGGGCACAGCATCCAGAGTTCAGTTCTTCTTAATAGCTTCTTGTTCTGCGGATACCATAATAAACCTAACCAATACATTTGCTGAGATCTTTTAAAGGGTCTGCCTTTATTCTGAACATGTCAGTCCCAGTTGAAATACTAAAAATTCTACCTCAGACTACCCATCCCACAAACACGGAGCACAGTTTGTAAGTATCTCATACTGCAAGTTCTGGTGCACACTGATGTGGTGCAGGAAACCGCATGCGATTCGGACAAAAATCGCACCGCATTCATTCTCAAATCACATGCAGTTCTTTGCAATGCGATTCGAGCCCATTCATTTTGTATGGCTCAAACCTCACCGAACCCGCACAAAAGAGGTACAAGCACATTTTTATTGCTGTTCTGGAATCGAATCCATGTGATCAGCCAATCTCACTGTGTTTTGCGACCCGATTTTGGGGTGTCGTTAATACTGACGCCTGCAGCAGGTTCGCATGAATGGAGTGAAATTGTGATGCGGTCCAGGAAACGCACAGGAATTGCTGCGAATCCCGCACCGCATCAGTGTGAACCAGGACTAAACCCGAAGACAAGGATTCCATATTCCACACAACACAATGCCTGCACTTTGAAGTCAAGTGCTCTACATAAATCAGAAACAGGCAATAAGCCAGGTAGAGAGTTGTGAGGATATGGAGCCAAGAAGTCAGAGAAAGCTTTAGATTAAAATTGAAAGTAACTAATTACATTAAATCACAATTTAATGTATTGTATGCGCTGTAATACCAATTCGGAATGAAACCAGTTCACTCCTACACGCTAAATACATCTCGAAGCAGCAATGACCCCTTAGTCTACACTTTCTGTCCTAGAGAATAGGTAGAATGGACCCAAAGGCCACAATCACTAAAGGGAAGTGAAGGAATCTTCTTTCCTCTAGATCAGCGCTCTGCAAACTGCAGCCTGAGGTCCGGATGTGGCCCTTTGCTTGCCTTTGCCTGGCCCTTGAGCACTATTTATTTTATTGACACACCAACTATGAGCACCATTCCTCTCTGTGACACCAACAGTGGGGTATTGTTCCTTACACTGACACTAACAATGGTGCATTATTCCTGCCACCAATACCAATTTTGGGGCACTCTCTCTCCTCCTGTTGACATTTTTTAAATCTCACGATTACCAAGGCTGAGACATGTGGACTCCCACTGATACCGGGCATCTTCTACTCTACTCTCCTTCCTAAAGTCTGAAAGTCAAAAACTGGCCCTTTGTTTAGGAAGTTTGGGGAGATCTAGATTAAGGTAATTAAAAAAAAAGGAAAGCAGAAAGCATGGATCAGTGGGTCCAAGCTGCAACTCCTGGAGACACTAAGGCAAGACATGGAAACCAATTTATAGACCAGGGGTATAGCCCTTTGGGGGTGTAGCACCTTTGTAACTGTCCAACTTCCTATAGGCAGGGCATATACCCAGAGTCCTTCTTTGTCCACCAGCAACCAATAAAAAGAAAAACAAGATATAACACTTACTTAATCAAAGTCTTATGGACTGGTTTTCTGCTGTCTTACCTGGTAGCAGAGCTGCCAGAGCCAATATTACTGGTATCCTCTTTATTGGGGAGGAGGAATCCGGCCAGGTTGAGGAGATCTTTGATCATCTGACCTTTAATGTTCACATCTAGAGGGGAATTAGAGTGCAGACTGTGGGAAGGAGAAGAAAAAGTCATTGTGAATCTTTTCATTTGTATTGAAGCTTACCAAAAGATGAACACACAAATCAAATCACATTTGTGTTTAATCAATTTTTATTAAGAGTTTGCAAACACTACAATCTCTCAACAGTTAAAAAGTTTGTCTAGGCAAATGCATCCAAACTCATATAACCCTAGATTATGACACTTGGGAGCATCATTTCAAGCATAACATAGTTTTAACCAATGTCAACAGAACATATACAGTGGGGATCGAAAGTTTGGGCACCCCAGCTAAAAATTTGTATTAATGTGCATAAAGAAGCCAAGGAAAGATGGAAAAATCTCCAAAAGGCATCAAATTACAGATTAGACATTCTTATAATATGTCAACAAAAGTTAGATTTTATTTCCATCATTTACACTTTCAAAATAACAGAAAACAAAAAAATGGCGTCTGCAAAAATTTGGGCACCCTGCAGAGTTTAATATCTTTGTAAAGCTGCCCCCTTTGGCATTGTTCTCAATCATCGTTGGGAAACCAGCTTTCAATCTCAAAGGTTTTAGCCAGACAAGACCTTTCAACCATGGGTTCTTGTTTCTAGAGGTAAAATAGTTTGCCCAAAGCTGGAGAAGGCTTACAAAAGCGTCTGTCCAGTTCTGTAATGAGAAATTCAGGAAAAGTGGGCAAGATCTGTCTGTCACGCACTGCTCTTTTAAGTTGTTTGACTGCACATCCCTCCAGTCTATCCTTCATAAGAGTCATCAGAAGAAAAACCTCTTCTACGATTTTCAATTAAATGAACATTGAGGTGCAGGGAAACAAGATTGTGAATGGCCATGGCAAATGAGCAATGGTACTTCAGAATTTACCTCTGTCCATCTTGATGTAATCAATCCCGTGGGTTGTTTGCGAGTGTGTGAACATTAGGAAAATCATTAAAATTTCAGCAAATTTGGATGGGTAAAGATGCCATCCTCTCTTTAAAGAGAGGATGGCTTCTAGCTTTTGATCAAACAGATGGAATCAACGTTACATCCAAAATTTGCTGAAATTTTATTGAAAATCCATTTTTCCTTCAGACAGCCCAGAAATACTGGAAGACTTTTGTAAGGAAGAATGTTCAAACTTGAAAGACTCTGCCACTGGCTGCAACAAGTGTTTCAAAGCCCCAAAGCAGTACAAGACTGATGCCAAACAAATTTTTAGTTTTCTGTTATTTTGGGGATGCCCAAACTTTGTAATTTGATCCACACTGTATATTAATACAAATTTTTAGTAGTCTACCCAGTATATATCAGGCACAGTGTGATCAAAAACCAGCGGGCTGCAAAAAAAAAAAAAAAAAAAAAAAAAAAAAAAGGCTATTGGGAACAAACAGGTTCTTAGTAAATAAAATGCCCAAAAGGTCACATCAAGGGCAAATGGGGATACGGCATCTGTAGGTAGCAGTTAATACAGCAAAGCCATATAACTAGAGAGGTATACATAGGATACAAAAAGAGGAAAACAGGAAAGAAAAGGAGAAAAAAAAAAAATAAAGGGGGGGGACAGTGGGAGGTTCCCAGAGGTAAGTGCGTCTCTTATCAATGTAGAAATAAAAGAATCAAAAGCAGAGGAATATCTAAAGACCACACGGTCTGCACGAGATTGTAGGAGTCCGATTTATCCTCATCCCACACAATCATACGCTCAACCAAATCACATTTGAATGCATAAATAGCAAATTCCAGACAAAGTGTGGTTATGGGTCCAAATTTTGCATAAAGCTTTCTCCGTAAAATGGAGGTGTGATGGTCAGGTGCCCACCAACCCTTGGGTGTATTGTGTATCAAGCAATGTCAAATAACACCATCTCTCTGCTTTGAATTCTTGTGTTACTTATAGACTAGGCCAAGAGGACACGGCATTGTTGGCGTTTAACTTTACAGTCTGCAGGGAGTCTACTGCTTAAACCAATGTGAGCAATGAGAGAAGAACAAAAGCTGAAAGAAGAGCCCTCATATGTAATGATGCAGCTCGAAGAGAGGAAATCTCTACAAAAATGAAAAGATTTACCTTCATGTTTTGTTGTCGTACCAACTGTAACATTTTAATTCCCATCACTTTCTATCTCAATGACAATGGTCACCAGTACAAATAGAGAAGGTGACTCTACCTAGTTGGGACCTAGACTAAAAAATAGCAACATAAAAAAATATCCTGGAGAAGAATTTGGTTAAGGCAAATGCCATTGACCTACTTGCATGCTACATTATTTGCCTGGGCATAGTTCAACTTTCCTATAGGTGAGGGGATGAAAGCAGCTTAATCCGTAGCTTCTGGTTATTTACAGTGCCTTGAAAAAGTATTCAAACCCCTTGAAATTTTCCACATTTTGTCATGTTACAACCAAAAACGTAAATGTATTTTATTGGGATTTTATGTGATAGACCAGTGGTCTCCAAACTGTAGCCCGGAGCCGTATGTGGCCCTTTGCCTGCCTTTATCTGGCCCTTGGAGCACTATTCCTTTTACTGACACCAACAATGGGGGTATATTTCTTGCCACTGACACCAACAATGGGGCACTATTCCTCCCAGATACCAAGGATGGGCACTACTCCTCCCACCGACACCAAAAATGGGGCAAGATTCCTTCCACTGACACCACCAATAGGGGCACAATTCCTGCCACTGACACCAACAACGGGGCACTATCCCTCCTACTGACACCAACAAAGGGGCACAATTCCTTCCACTTACACCACCAATGGGGGACTATTCCTCCCACTGACATCAATGATGGGGCACTATTCCTATTACCTATTCTTACTGACACCAATGATGGGGCACTATTCCTCTTACTGACACCAAAAAAGGGGCACTATTCCTTCCACTGACACAAATGATGGTGCAATATTCCGCCCACTGACACCAACAATTGGGCACTATTCCTCCTACTGACACCAATGAGACATTGTTTACTCCCATTGACCGCAAGAAATTTTCTACTCTCACTGGCCAAAGTCCACCCACCTAAAGCTTGAAGAACAGTAAATGGACCCCTTGTTTAGAAAGTTTGGAAACCCCTGTGATAGACCAACACAAAGTGACACATAATTGTGAAATGGAAGGAAAATGATAAATGGTTTTCAAAATATTTTACAAATAAATATCTGAAAAGTGTGACGTGCATTTCTATTCCGCCCCCCGGAGTCAATACTTTGTAGGACCCCCTTTTTCTGCAATTACAGCTGCAAGTCTTTTTTGGGATGTCTCTCCCAGCTTTGCACATCTAGAGAGGGACATTTCTGCCCATTCTTCTTTGCAATATAACTCAAGCTCTGTCAGATTGGATAGAGAGCATCTGTGAACAGCAATTATTAAGCCTTGCCACAGATTCTCAATTGGTATTTAGGTCTGGACTGTGACTGGGCCATTCTAACACATGAATATGCTTTGATCTAAACCATTCCATGGTAGCTCTGGCTGGATGTTGCGGGTTGTTGTCCTGCTGGAAGGAGACCCTCCACCCCCGCCCCGGTCTCAAGTCTTTTGCAGACTCTAACAGGTTTCCTTGTAAGATTGCCCTGTATTTGGCTCCATCCATCTTCCCATCAACTCTGACCAGCTTCCCTGTCCCTGCTGAATAAAAGCATCACCACAACATGATGCTGCCACCACCATTTTTCACAGTGGGGATGGTGTGTTGAGGGTGATATGCAGTGTTAGTTTTCTCTGCCACACAGAGTTTTATTTTTAGGCCAAAAAGTTAAATTTTGGTCTCATCTGACCAGAGCACCTTCTTCCACATTTGCTGTGTCCCCCACAAGGCTTCTGGCAAACTGCAAATGGGGCTTCTAATGGCTTTCTTTCAACAATGGCTTTCTTCTTGCCACTCTTCCATAAAAGGCCAGATTTGTGGAGCGCAGACATTAGTTGTCCTGTGAACAGATTCTCCCACCTGAGCTGTGGATCTCTGCAGCTCCTCCAGAGTTCCCATGAGCTCTTGGTTGCTTCTCTGATTAATGCCATCCTTGCCCGGCCTGTCAGTTTAGGTGGACGGCCAAGTATTGGTGGATTTGCAGTTGTGCCATACTCTTTCCATTTTCGGATGATGCATTAAACAGTACTCCGTGAGATGTTCAAAGCTTGGGATATTTTTTTATAACCTAATCCTACTTTAAACATCTCCACAACTTTATTCCTGACCTGTCTGGTGTGTTCCTTGGCCTTCATAATGCGTTTTTTTTCACTAATGTTCTCTAACAAACCTCTGATGGCTTCACAGAACAGCTGTATTTATACTGAGATTAAATTGTACACAGGTGGACTATTTACTAATTAGATGACTTCTGAAGGCAATTGGTTCCACTAGATTTTAGTTAGGGGTATCAGAGTAAAGGGGGCTGAATACAAATCCATGCCACACTTTTTAGAGATTTGTAAAAAAAATGTTGAAAACCATTTATCATTTTCGTTCCACTTCACAATTATGTGCCACTTTGTGTAGGTCTATCACATAAAAATCCAATAAAATACATTTACATTTTTGGTTGTAACATGACAAAACGTGGAAAATTTCAAGGGGTATGAATACTTTTTCAGGGCACTGTACCTGGTTTAAATTATCCATTTAAAATGAATTTGAGGCATTGATATTTTATACATTACATTGGTACCTGGCTGATGTCCCTGAAAGGTGAAAATCGCTGAAGTAGGCACCACTTCTCCAATGATCTCTACTCGCTACTGGTTCCCACACCAAGCCGTTACCCTGCTGCATTGGGAACACAGAAGGATGGCTGCTTGGCACAGGCGCCATTACACATAGAATGTTTTGTTTTGCATTTTCTGAATGAATGCAAAGCATTCTTTGATTAGATGAAGTGGAGAGTGTGATGTCACCACCCTGTCTATCCACCTCATCCAATCAGAGAAGGCTCTGCATTAATTTCTGAGAATCCAAAGTATTCTCTGAATGGGGCCTGTGCAGAGTATCTGACCTCCTAAGTTAAGAATGCAGCA